CGGACTCGAGCAGCTCATCTCTGAACCAACGAGGATAATACCCACCTCTTCAACTCTAATTTATTTAATCTATACCAACTGCTCAGATAAGATCGTTTGTTCGGGAGTTTGTCACATAGGGATAAGTGATCATAGCATGGTGTATGTATATAGAAAACTTGCCCAGAACGGAATGTCTAATGGACATAATTCTATTACATATAGAAATTTCCGAAATTTCGATCGTCAAAATTTTCGTTATGACATCCTATCTCAATGTTGGGATAATGTATATGAGTCTTCCAACCCAAACATGATGTGGCAGCAATGGAAATGTACATTTCTAGCTATTGCTGACAAACATGCCCCACTGAAAACGATGTGTGTTCGTTGACGGAGTTCTCCATGGATTACCTCTGAATTGAAAGACTCTATGCGTAATATAGACATATTAAAAATCAAAGCTAGCAAGACAAATGATCCTAACGATTGGGCATTATTTAAGAAACAAAGAAATATAACCAATAAGCAAATACGCTCAGCTAAGCTAGTTTATTACCGAAATAGTTTTAATAAGCACATCAGCGACTCCCGAAAGACCTGGCAGACTATAAACGAGCTAACCTCTCGAAAATCTGGGAAAACGTCAGTGGCGTCACTAAAAGTGAACGGATTAACGATAACCAATCCGTTGGAGCTATCAAACGAATTCAATAACCACTTTGCTAATATTGGTCCAAAACTTGCCATTGAGAATAATTGCGATAGTGGTAGCTATCAAAGATATCTTACCGCTACAGATAAACGGTTTAAGCTCCAACCCACCAATCCAAATAAAGTATTTTCACTTTTAAATAAACTAGACAAGTCAAAGGCAACGGGCCTTGACAAAATATCTGCTAGGTTGGTCAGGGAATGTGTTGATCTTATTTGTGTGCCGATATGTGATATTTTCAATCAATCTATTAACCAAGTGACGTTCCCAGATGACTGGAAATATTTATTATTTTTTGGCATATTTTAAATTGTTCCGGTATCTCCGACATCACAATCAATTCCAGAATTGAAACAATCAAATAATTTTTGCAGAGAAGCAAAAGTTTCCAGGACACTTATGACTGAAGTCTTGGGTTTCGTAGTTTGCTGGGCTCCGGTAATGGTCATCTAGCTGATCCATTTGTTTGCAGAATCTAGATTTAATCTACTAAAGAAATCTATTTTGAAGTCTCTTTTAATGGACTCAAAGAGACAGTTTAGGAAGGAAGGAATATATCGACTTGTTACAAGTTACTTGTCCTTCATCCATACAGTTTACCCCAGTTGCAACATAGAGTTAGTGGCTCAGATATGTTTCTAATGTATCTAATGAGATGTATATCTTATCCATAAATGAGAAAATTAAAGGAACTTCAGAATCGGCGAGAGTTTGTGATGGACGGTAGATCCTTTGCTTGATAGTTTTGTGCACGACATGTGGATGGAGCTTAAAAAAACTAATTGCATTTTCTTAACGTCACGTACACATTTCAAATTGCCAGCTATATTTCTAATTTTTGAGATATATTGTGTTCAGTTAAAACTTGCAGAAGAGTAAAAAGGCTAAGTTCAAGGATACTGTGACAAGGATAAGGCTGGTATGGCTTTCGAAAATCGATTATTTGCAACCCGCGTTTTGAGCGGGAAATCAAACTGGTGAGGTTGTAATTGAACAGTACCTCTCAGTAATTTGCAATTTCTGATCAGCTTGCAAAGCATTAATACCGGCATTGCTACAGCTCTTTCAACCGGAGGAAATTATTGTTATTTGTGTTCGTGGAGGAAGAGTTTTGAGTTAAAATAGGCTGGAAAGAAAGAGACAGAGTGACTGAAAGAAAGCAAGAAGTAAAAGGCGTAAAGGGAGCTAGAAAGGACACAAAAATAGGCAGAATACGGCGAGAGGAACGGGAAAGAGAAGAAGAAAAGGCGTTAAGTCGAAAGGCGAATATCCATCGGCGTAGAGCAACGTTGGAAGGAAATACAAAGAGCTCTAGAAAACAGGCTAAAGAGAGGTCATCAACAAAAAGAAACGAACTATAAAGGATCGGAGAAAAAAGAGGAGGTAAGTTGAGTCTTCTCTGGGTTTTTTTTTTTTTTTTTTTTTACATTAAGGCTCGGAAAAATTCAAACCTTCCTTACCAATTGTTGATTGATACTAGTTTCAGTTAATAATTCAAATCACGTTTCAGTAAAATTTTAGCATTCATCCCTTTAAAACCTTCGCGCCGGTTCACCGCTCGAATAACATTTTAAAGTGTTCGTATTCTTCAAGTTATTTCTTGTCCTATTGTTTGGAATGTTTAATACAGTCGTGCTGTAAAGGGAAAATAAGGTATCTTACGGATTTTGTTTTTGTCAAGTGACGCAAGTGAACCAGACATGAATATTATTGCATGCTTTACTTGTGATGATTACGTTGTAGAGTTTAAATCAAGGAGGTTTCGCTAAATTCTGTATGAGAGTTTCCTTCACCCTCGTCAATCTC